GAGACAGCTATATATATTTTAAACTGTCTATACTAAGAAAAAGTAGAATATTGGCTTTCTGGTGCATTTAAAAATGATCTTGGGCTGGAAAGATGGCTCTTGCAGAGGACCCAAGTTTAAGTCCTAGTACCCAGTAAATGCCAGGAACTCCAGCTCCAAGGGATCTGGCACCTCTGGCTCCCTGGGCATCTGCTGTCACCTGTGCATACCCACACACTGACACACAGACACATAAAAATGATAAAAATCAATCATTTTAAAATGATTTCTGTATTAAGATAAGAAAAAAATTACAGACAGATCTCTGTGAGTTCAAGGCCAGCCTGGTTTACAGAGCGAGTTCCAGGACAGCCAGGGCTACACAGAGAAACCCTGTTTTGAAAAACCAAACCAAAACAAAACAAAACAAAAAAACATTTAAAGTATCAAATTTAGTTAACTCGGCCTAGACCACCTTTTCTATTAACCCCCAACAAAATTGTTTCAAATAGCCAAGAATAGTAGCGCATGCCTATTGGGAGGTGGAAGGAGGAGCAAGATTTGAAGGGCTGTCTCTGCTGCACAGTGAGCTTGAGACCAGTCCCGGGGCCACATGAGACCCCGCCTCAAACAACACAATAACAAGTCACTGCTAGAATGTAAGTGTGAATACTATAGAAGTGTGAATACCATCAAAACATCCGTACCTGTGTCCTGGGGGCAGTTTTCATGTCTGTAGTGGAGGGGCCCTGTTGTATGGGACAGGCAGGTAATCAACTTTGGCCAAGTTTTAAAAGGGATTAGCTCAGCATGCAATTACTCCTCCTCTTGCCTTTGACTTTTAAAGTGGCCTGGCTGAGTCCAGCCTCTTTCCAATGAATACGGTGTTGGATTTTCCTCTTTCGGGCGAAGTCTGCAATGTCAGGCTCATCACTGTCTCACTCTCTAACCTTGGGCCGGCCACTTAACCCTAAGTCTGGACAGCTGCGCTGGATGAGGCCGATACCAACACTGACCTGGAGATTCACAGAGGGCAATTGGCCACCACGCTTCACTTAACCGTCCATGCATTATCACAGGAGGATTTTTATAACACTTGATAGAGCCGAAGTGCTTTCAAGTCATTAATAAGCCATGGCTCTATGAAGAGATGTATTTGTCCTTTGGCAGAAACCTTGCCTCAAATGAGGGTTTCCCTCAATGCTTTAAATTTCACAGTGTGCCGAAACAACACCTAAGTTTCCAATGAGGACTGGGAGCCAGTGGCTCTCCAGGAACCCTCCAGGCCATTAGCCTGTCCAAGCATCTGGCCTCACGCACTGAGCAGCGTCTGGGTTCTCAGGCTCTCTGTGGGCAGACAGCCATTGTTGGACTACCAGGCCTCTACCATTGTATCCGTTTGCTTTCTGGTGCTGTGGTAGAACACTTTGAGCAAAAGCAACTTGGAAAGGAACGGAGTTGTTTGGCTTACACTTCCACACCACAGTCCTTCATTGAGGGAAGTCAGGGCAGGAACTCGAGCAGATTCCACAGGGGAAGGCTTCTTGGTGGTTTGCTCTTTAGAGCTCACTCAGCTTGTTTCTTATGTACCCCAGGACCACGTGCCTATGGGTGGTACCACTTGCTCACGTGCCTAAGGGTGGTACCACTCGCAGTGGGCCGGGTCCTTCCTCGTTAATCGTTAACCAAGGCAATGCCTCACAAACTTGCCCACGGGCCAATCTGGTGGAGGCGTGTTCTCAAGTTAAATTCCTTCTTCCCAGGTGGCCATAGCTCGTGACAAGTTGACAGTCTAATAAACCCCTCCTTTAATATATATTCATTCAGTTCCTCTGGAGAACTCTGCCCAGTAGAAGTTGTTTCCATTTGGGGAGGGGTAGGAACAGCTGTTAGCTAGGATTAACAAAGTCATTGTTTCTAATTAAACCAGCCCTTCAGCGTTGGTTTCTGCTGCTTGCCCTGGTCAGACTGCTCTCCCTCTGGAGCATGGATCTCCTCCTTCCTCACGCTCTGACCTTTCAATGCCGTTCCTCATGTTGTGGGGATTCCAACCATAACATTATTTTCATTGCTTCCTCATAATTAATTTTGTTAGTATTATGAATCATAATGTAAAGATCGGATATGCAGGATATGAGATCCCCATGAAAGGGATGCTTGACTCCCTGAGGGATTGCAACCCACAGGCTGAGAACCGCCCGACCTCCAATAATGTCATCACCTGTGGAAAACAAGAAAGGTCACTTATCACTTAAATAACTTTCTTTTTATCTATCGGACACCACATCTTCATTGGTACAACCTCCTAGGCTTTGTCTTTATTTTATTTTTCCAAGGGAGAGGGCAAGAAGCATCCTCAAGCCCCGAGCCACTCTTCTGCTCGGCAGTTGTCTCGGGCAGTGTCTCCTGAGCCCTGCAGAGTGATGGGTAATGAGTTACAAGCTCAGCTCGTTTTAAGCTTATACTCTCGAGGCCCTGGGCTAGTTCCTCAGCATCCAAGCATGGCGGAGCGTAATGAGTCAAGAGCTTTCATCTTCTATCAGCCCTTCCCACTCTCCAGCACTCCCGTTGTCAAGGGGAAGGGGCAGAAATCATAGCTGTACAGTGCCTGGCACGCGGCTGCCCCCAAACTCCAGAACCACCGCAGATTGTTTTTCAGTTGCTCTGTGTGCCTTCCTGTCTTCCCTGAGAAGGGGTGCTTTTCAGGGCTCTAGAATCCCTCCTTCTGCTTATGAGACTCTTCTCTGTTGTCCTCCCAGCCAGCCAGGCCTTTTTTAACGGCATCTTTGACCATGTGCACCTCTCATGGTGTAGATGACCAAGTTTGAAGCCTGAGTCGGGAAAGTCTCATCACAGACAATGCACTTTCCTGCGAGCCCTGCGATGTACTTTCTCGACCACTGATTTTGAGGGAACATCTCTCGAGTGGTGAGGTCGGGAAAAGCCTAGAAGAAAGGCTGGAGTGGGCAGTGCATCGGTGTGGGCCATGGCGGAAGTCGTCTGGATGTGGATGGATTAGAGAACCTCAGAATTGGCAGAACCCATGGGTGATGGAAGACTACATATCAGGCCTGTGGACCATGGAAAGTTGCAATGAGGAGCTGTCTCTTCCCCAGTCCTCCAAGTATCGAGAGTGAAGGATTAACATATGGTGGTCACTGTCATAAGCATGAAAAGCAACAAAAAGGCTGGAGAGGTAGCTCAGTGGTAGAGAGTTTGCCGAGCAGGAGGTTCAATCCAGGGTTCAATATTCCCAACAGCAAAAGAAAAAAAATAAAAGTATTGGAATACAATACTTTGCCCAGGCATCATAGGTAGTGGTGTGGATGTGGTAAGCTTTCTCATCTGGACCACAAGCCCACAAATAATGACATGGAAACTTTTAATTATGAAAGCTTGACCTTAATCTAGACTTTTTTTTCTAAGTAGCTCTTATAACTTATAACCTATTTCTATTAACCTACATTCTATCACATGACTCAGTTGCCTTAGCTCCATTATCTTTCCTCTGTTCCTTATGTCCAACTTGTTCTGTATTGGTTGGCACCGCTTGTGCACCTAGATTGGTCCCTCTGACTTCCTCTCTTCACCTGGAAGTCCCGCCTAATCTCTCCTGCCTAGCTATTGGCCATTTTGCTTCTTATTACACCAATCGCAGCAACACGTCTTCACACAGTGTACAAATATCCCACAACACCTGTCTCTGGAGCACTGTAGGCCATAGATGAGTTCAGAGGTCACCAGCTGGGATTCCAGGGTCTCATGTCTCAGGACAAAGGGTACGGGGTCACATGGACAGTGTTAGCAGAGACAGTTTACTAAGAAGAGGAACTTCTCCAAGTACTGAATAGTCTAGAGAGGTGGAAAAGGGTGGAGACTCTTAACAGCCTCCAGCCACTAGGGTAGTGAGCCTTTATGGGTCGTTTCAATAGTCCTGGCCCTCTCTGTTATGTTGCATGAAACCCTGGTGGGGAGGGCTTTACAGTCTGTCTGCCAACTGGCTTCTTTCATGGTAACCTTGATACCTGTCACCTGTGCCCTATTGCCACACTTAGGTCCAAATCTCAAACCCACGAATCAAAAGCTTTGTGCCTTGGACAGTTAGTTGCTTGACTTTCCTGGGCCTCAGTTTGCTCAGCTGTGCAGTGAAGACAACAAAATCCATTTCATCAGATGACAGGGAAGATTTAAATCCATCCACACGCTTGATTTGATCATAAGTACCCGGCGCCAGGCAAACACTGTGCATTCGACTAGAAAAACAACAGCAGCCCGATGTTAACAGCCAGATATGAAAACCTGCTTCATTTTCTTTTTCTGCAAGTCTCTGGGGTACTGATAGATCTTAAGGTCTGAAGGGGGACTTCAAAGTGGGCAGAATGTCTCGCCAACGGGGCATTTGAGGTTTAAGCTGGGAAAGAGAAAGATAAACGTGAACCAATTTGCTCCCAAGTTCTCATATTATTTCCCTTTCTGGTCCATCACCAGTATCTTAGAAAGGCAGAGAAGTCCGTAAAGCCGGTGGATCGTGGTACCAGCAGCAGTGAAACACAGCCTCTCAGGTTAGAGAGGTTGGGCTAGCCTGAAACCGACTCGCCAGGGTTTGCCACAGAAATTCAAGGGAAACGATTCTGTACTGAAACTGTCGTCCCCCAGTGTGCTAAAGGAGGCAACAGAGCAGGCGGTAGTTCACGACCTGTCTGGGAAGTGGAACGAACCTTGGAAGGTCACAAAGAAGCAAGCAAGTTCCCCCATCTTCCCCTGACTCCTGGTCCCATGGAAACCCGCAAAGAAAAGCTGAGCCAAAGGCTGGCCCGGGCCCCGGGTCTCCGGCAGGGGCCGCTGCAGCCGGGGCAGAACACTAGGATGCCGAGCGCTCCGCCCCGCGGCCTCTCCTGCCTGCTCTGTCCCCACCACCTCCTGCAGGTGAGTCTGAGGCCTGACTTGGGGGGGTCCTAGCTTTGTCCTGGCTCTGCGCGCCCCACCCCGCGCATGCGCAGCCGGGCGTCGGTAGGGACGCCAGCGACAGGATGGGTGGCGGAAACTCCTGGGAGCAACCGGGCCCCGGAAGGCGGTGACCTGGAGGAAGGGCACTTTGGCTAAGGTGACAGGGGCAGGCTGTTGTGGTGGCGAAGGAAGTGCAGAAAGCAGAGGATGGCGACACAGTCTGAAGGTAGAGAGGTAGAGCCCGTAGGATTTGATGATCATGGCAACAGAGAAATGGGGAAAGGTTAAGGCCAAGCCAGCAGCCGGAGGATGGTGCCCCGAAGTTTTGCGAGTGGTGTGGAGGTTAGGGCGGGGGATGGGGAGTGGAGGCGGTTTTCAGCTCTGTGAAGATGGGAGATCTGGAGCGATCAGCGGCAACGAGGTTGGAGGAAAACCCTCAGAAGGTGGGGGGCTGGAAGCCCCGCACGCACGTGTTGGGAGAGGTTGGGTCCTAGGCTGTACTCCTTCTTAGGTTTTAATGCCAGGTAGGCTTGACAGGAGCGGGTGCTAGTGGAGCCAGTCCGCGTCAAAGTCTGGGACTGGTGTATTGATCTCGATTGTGGAGCTTTTGGTGTCCAAAGAGTCTTATCTGACAACCTGTGAACGTTTCTGCCAATACAGTTGCCATATATTCTATGCCATGACTTAAAACTCCTGCATTTCAGTCGATAAAAGATAATGTGTGTATTTCTGGGGTGCGATGGGGTGTTTTGATATACGTATTATATATAATAGGAGTAAGTCAAGCTAATCAACGTGTCTACCATCTTACTATTTTTTAGTGGTAAGAACATTTCCAGTTTTCTTGTTTCAAAATTTTGAAACGTGCATTCCACCATTATCTACTATGGTTACTGTGCTGGGCACTAGACCAGCAAAACCTATTCTCTCTTGCCCAGAGTCTGTGCCCCTTGACAAACATCTACGTGCCCCATATTGTCCCCTACACCGGGCCCCTGGTAACGAATCCTTTCTTTTAATATTGCCTTACATATGCATGGGCTACATTTAATTTATTCCTCTGTTGATTAACACCTAGATTGTTTCCATGTGGATAACACGAAATTTAGCATTCAAGTGCAGATGCCTCTCCCACATACTGACCTCCAATCCCTTTATAACAAGCTTGCTAGAATGCATGGTAATTCTGGTTTGAATTTTTGAGGAATCTCCATGTTGTTTTCCAGAATGGCTGTGCTGACATTTCCTCCACATCCTTGTTAACATTAGCTTTGGTCCTTGTGATAAAAGCCACGCCAGCAGAGCTAAGGTGATAGTTCATTGTGATTTAATTTTCTTTGCCTCAATATCTTCTTGTGAGAAATACCCATCCGGGAACTCTGCTCATTTCTAAAGCTAGCCTGCTTTCTTGCAACTCAGTTTAAAAATATATAAATATATTTTATATATGTAAATACGTGTGTGTGTGTGTGTGTTTGTGTGTTATGTACAGGAACATGACATGGCACTCGTGTGGAGATCAGAGGACAATTTGCAGGAGTTGGTTCTCTCCTTTTATCACCAGGGATTGAACTCAGGTCTTCAGGCTTGGTGGCAAATGCCTTTACCCTCTGAGTCATATCACCAGCCCTCCATGTATTTTATTTAAATTACTTACAATTTTTTTGAGATTTATTTTTTTAACTTTATGTGTATGGGTGTTTTGCCTGCATATATTTCTATATACCACGTGTATGATGTCCAAGGAGGCCAGAAGAGGATGTTGAATTCTCTAGAACTGGAATTATAGACAGTTGTGAGCCACCATATGGATGCTAGGAGTCAAACTCTGGTTCCCCGGAAGAGCAGTCAGTGCTCTTAACTGCTGAGCCATCTCTCCAGCCGCCCTCCATAGAGTTTAGACATTAGCATCTTTCAACTGTATGGTTTGAAGTATTTTCTCCCACTGTATAAATGACTGATTCCTTTATCAGCCTGTTTGTCTGTTTCTGCTTCTATCACCCATGTTTAACTCTAGCTAAGAAACCACTGCCCAGGCCATGTCAGGACTTCCATCTCTTTTTCTCTTGGCGTGTCAGGTTCAGGTGATGGGCTTAAGTCTTTAATCCATTTCTAATTGATTTTTTTGTGTGTGTGTGATATAAGACAAGTAACAATGAAACCTGAGCTTGGTGACTCACATCTGTAATCCTGGCTATTATAAAGTTGAAACAGAATTGTCATGGATTCCAGGCCAGCCTGGACTGCACGGTGAGTCCTAAGCCAGTTTGGGGTATATATAGCATGAGCCCCTGTGTCAATCTTCTTCTTCCTTCGCCAGACTCAGATATCCATTCTGGCCCCATTTTCCCACCTTTCCAGTTTGAGCATCCCAGGCTTCCTGTGAGGTGTCTCTACTCTACAGAGACAGGTTACCCTAGAAATGTCAGTATTTTTGCCTCTGATTTCTAGTTGGGGTTTACTGTGGTACAATGCACACACTGTCAAAATAAGTTCCTCTTAAGTTCCAACCCTGTAATATGTAACTAGACTCTGTCTAAAAAAAAAAAAACCCAAAAAATAAAATAAAATTAGAAACCATAATATGTTTGATCTTTATTCTAACAGATTTCACATTAAGCGGTGTTGCGAGCACATTTGAAGTAGGCTGGACTAACAGTGTTCTGCTGGTTGAGTATATTTATGAGATTTTCCACTTAGGACTAGTTATCTTGAATCAAGTAGCAAAATGTTTATACTTATATACAGTAATAACTCCTCTAAGGAAACAAAGAATGCTGCGTATTTAAATGTTTTATGATTGTTTCTAAGTCATTTTGTAACTCTTCTAAAGCCTGCTGGAGAAGCAGTACTTCAAAGAAACCCTGATGCGACCGCTCCAGATCCTTCCCGGCCAATTCATTTCCCAGCTGTGTTGTGGACTGAAGCCTCCAGCCTCCCCGCGAAGCAAGATCTGCCTCACCATGGCTCGTCCAAGTTCAAGTAAGTCATCCTTAGAAATGCCTACGTCGGTCACGGTGCTAAGGAAGCTGTAGCATGATTTTCACAGGGCAAGTGAGCACGATGTAGTAATAAGGAGCGGCGGGGCTGCGTCCCTAGCACCCCGGCTGCCTGGCTAGTTTATGCCCCGAGATAACAACGCACAAATTGTATTCATTTAAACATTACTTGGCCCATTAGCTCTAGCCCTTACTGGCTAATTCTGATATCCCGATCAACCCATCTCTAATAAATTGTGTAGCACTGGTCTTACCGGGAAAGATTCAGCATGTCTCCTATTACTACAGAACGGTGCCCAGACGTGTGGACAACTGAATCCACTGAAAGCCTGAGAAAGCTTGGGAAAGAGTAAAGCATGTTTTCTTGGTAGCAACAATTTCTCGGGTCTACTCTGCTTGCTAGAGGCAAGCAAGCGCTCTCATCTAAGAGAGGCTTCCTGACTCAGCTTCAGCTGCAAAACCCTGAAGCTCATTAAGAGGTCCTGCCACGAAACACTTAAACGGTGTTGACAAAAAGCTGAAAGCGTGCTTTTCGGTTTTTAGCAGTAGCAGGAAAAAAGCTGCGCCGTTTAAAAATGCTGGCTTTCTGGGCTGTCCTGCCAGGGCAAACTCTGACTCTTTTACGCAGGCGGTTCGTGAGGTTTGCAAGCACAGGCTGCTGAAGCTCGCTTGCAGGCAGAGACCTTGAAATGCCATAGAGTTGTGGCAGTAAACATGGCTACAGCCAGTACCTCAGCCATGAGGCTGGAAAGCTAAGGAATGGGCTGGATCCAGCCGTCAAAGCCACGGCTTTAGTCCTACTGATATTGCTTGATAAATTAAAGACTCATGTGGTCAAAAAAGAGACATATACAGTAAAAGAAAGATTCAAAGAAAAAAGAAAACTTTTAAATGATTTACAGTGTGTTAAAAATATGTGCAGGGGGGGCTGGAGAGATGGCTCAGTGGTTAAGAGCATTGCCTGCTCTTCCAAAGGACCCGAGTTCGATTCCCAGCAACCACATGGTGGCTCACAACCATCTGTAAAGAGGTCTGGCGCCCTCTTCTGGCCTTCAGGCATACACACAGACAGAAAATTGTATACATAATAAATAAATAAAAAATATTAAAAAAAATATGTGCAGGCTAAAAGTTGCAGTTCTTAAAGTAAAAAAAAAAGGAAGAGAGTTGTTGGGTGTGGTAGTACACACCTTTAATCCCAACATACATAAAAAAATGTTTTAAACAGAGGTAGAAACATGCATGCATACAATAGTCAATATAATTTAACTTTGTATCAATATACAAGAATCGATATCAATATATTTGTCTAAAAACAGTAACTCACAATTATAAATCTATTGTCCCATCATTCCCTTTTTTTTTTTCAAAATGATCCCTGAGCTTATAAAATTCCTCCCCCAACCTCCCAACCCCTAAATGATGTCCCTAAACCCAGGGGCAAACTTTACTGGGAGAGGGGACGTCATCCTCTAGAATTACTTTCAGCTGTCATGGGGGCGACGTTCTTTCTGGGGGATCCTGTGAAAGTAAAATGATGGTTAAATTTCAAGAATAATCAGGTTCTTTAGATATATAGAGATTATACTCAGTATAGATAGATAATCTTCAGCCTCTTCAAAGAGCTGTAGAAAATGGCCTTTAATATAATTCAGAGTTTCGTGATAGTGAGACACAATTGCTCCTGGCAATACCTCTCTATTCCTGAGAGAACATTGAGCACCAAAGACACTCCACTGGGAGCTTGTCTTCTTGGCAGAACTGGCCTTTGGGTTAAGAAAAGCCCATACCTCAACTTCTAACAATGAAACAGGATTGTCTTATCCTGCCAAGACAGGGTAGGATAGTTCTAAGAAAGTTCCATGCCTTTAATAATGGTATGTCAATTATGTTAAGCCTTAGCCAAAGTTGGTTGACTCAACATTGCAAACGAGACTTTGGGTGATTGCCCAGGTAGTCAGTTGTCTCTGTCAATTGTTGCACATTTTGGATATATCTCGTTTGTTAAGTAATATTTATTCCTTTCTCAGATCTTTGACAGAGTTGAAGATTATATAATTGTAGTTACTCTCTACATTATTTAGACTCCTTGAGATAAAATGTTTAGCAAAACTTTTGATTCTCAATATTGTTTGTTATATTTATTATTTGTTATTATTGTATTCAGTTTAGTTCTGTCTTATTTAGACAAAAAGGGGAGATATAGGGATAAGTCCCGCCCCTTAGGGGGCATGTTCGCCTCGGGCTAATGTTTGCCTATAAATTTGGCGAGCATGCTCCCAGCTACTGCTTCTGCTTTCCTGGTCTCCACTGGAACGGTGGTTCTGTAAGTCTATTTCTCCATTAAAGCTGTATATATTTTTACAATCTGTCTGCATTCGTTTACGCTGTTACAGCACGAGGAGAATTTTAGATGCTTGGTGTCTGGTGGACCTCAGGTCAGGTTGTCTGGTGGGCCTCAGGTCAGGTTGTCTGGTGGGCGTCAGCACAGAGGCTTTCTTTGTCTTGACTTTCCACGAGAACTCTGGCTCCATCAACCCTGTTACATTTGCACGACCGTGCTCTAAGGTAAGAGCATCATGCATGCCAAGCAACCCACGGAACCGAGTATAGAGTGTAAGCCCTTCAGATCACACAGTGGGCCGGAACATGGAGCTGAGATGCCTTGCTAGGTGTGTGCCCAGAGCCCTCATTTCCTTGAGATACCATACACCCACATACCAAGTGTGCACGATGATGTCTCCATGGTACAGGGAATATTTTTTAAACCTTATTTATTTGAGACATCTCATCAGCCCTGAGGAATACTTCTTATTGGAATAGATATCTTAAATCTTTCAGTTTTTGAAGATTTGTTTATTTAATGTGTACGAGTGTTTGCCTATATGTGTGCATGCATGTGCCTCATGCCCACAAAGGTTAGAAGAGGGCACCAGAAATATCTGGAACTGGAGTTAGAGATGGTTGTGAAGTACCAGGTAGGTGCTGGGAATTGAACGCCAGCCCTCTGTAAGAGTGACAAGTGCTCTTGATTGCTGAGCCATCTCTTCGGCCCCTATTGGAGTATCTTACAGTGTAATTTTATTCAAGTTTCATGCCATAGACAATTGGTGTGGAATCTAAGTGTCCCGCTGGTACTCTGGATTGACACGGGTTTATTTTCTGTTTAGATATGGCAGATTTCCGGAAGTGTTTTGCAAACGCCAAGCACATAGCCATCATCTCAGGGGCTGGCGTTAGTGCGGAGAGCGGGGTTCCAACTTTCAGAGGAGCAGGAGGTTATTGGAGAAAATGGCAAGCTCAGGTGAGTCACGCTTCCGGACTACCACAGGCTTTTCCGAATGAAGCTATTATGGCGGTTGATTGAGCATCCACATATATACCTGAAGCCCAAGGGCAGTGTTTGAATTTGGCAGTCACCATTTTGTCCTCTTGGCTTTGGTGTCAACACAGTCTCTATGATGACGATGATAGCAAATTTGGGGCCAAGGGGATGGGTTTAGTGCGTGAGAGCACTTGCTGTCCAAGCATCAAGCATGGGAACCTGAGTTTGACTCCCAGCATGCACGTGAAGAGCTGAGTATACCTGTAGGCTCGAAACCCCAACACTGGAAAGTGGAGACAGGAAGATCCTAGAAGCTTCCTGTCCTGCCGGATCTTCCTGTCTTGCCAACCTAGCCTAAACGACAAGCTTCTAGTTCTCTGAGAGATCGTGTCTCAAGGGAATAAGGCAGAAGCACCAGGAAGACATCCTCCTCTGATTCCTGACTACTCACGCATACATGTGCATATCTACATACTCATGTGCATGAAGCATGAAACACACACACACACACACACACACACACACACACACTTCACCTCCAAAAGGGAGTGCAAGACCGACGAAAGTCTCATCAGTAGGGAAGTGGCCGTCTAAGTCCTGGGTTAGTCCCAGGACTGGGATCTAGGCCGGTGCCACACAATCTAGCCAGACCTACAGCGGCCCCTCACCACCTCCACAGGTCCCTCCCTGACTTCTGCCTCTCCCCTCAGGACCTGGCGACTCCACAGGCCTTTGCCCGCAACCCATCACAGGTGTGGGAGTTCTACCACTACCGGAGGGAGGTCATGAAGAGCAAGGAACCCAATCCCGGGCACCTGGCCATTGCCCAGTGTGAAGCCCGGCTACGTGACCAGGGCCGACGGGTTGTAGTCATCACTCAGAACATCGATGAGCTGCACCGCAAGGCTGGCACCAAGAACCTGCTGGAAATCCACGGTGAGGCAGGCCAGATTTATTTTCGTTGTTTTTTACAAGACAGGGTTTCTCTGTGTGTAGCCATGGCTGTCCTGGAACTCACTCTGTAGAGCAGACTGGCCTCTAACTCACAGAGATCTGTCTGCCTCTGCCTCCTGAGTGCTGGGATTAAAGGCGTGCGCCACCACCACCCCTGCTGGAGACCAGATTTTAAAACAGCCTCTCCACCCTACGCACCTCCTCACACCTGTCCCTCCCGGAGGACGTTGTGGCACTTCCGGGGGAACACGCTGGTGCCTGATAGTACCCAAACAGCTCCTGCTGGCAGCAAGGAATGTCTTACCCCCCTGGCATCCCTCCCTTGTTGTGTCCTGTAATCTGCTAGTATGGAGTATGTCAACACCCTTGGGTTTCAGTTAAACAGGTTCTACTTGAACACCAAAACAAAACCTGCATTTCTCCCAAAGCCTCCACTGCACAGTATTGGGTGTTACTGGTGTCCTGTACACTGGAGAATCACTGTGTACACAGCCACAAGCCCTGCTCCTGGGCCACCTGTGGGAGTAGGCTGTGCTGTGAACTGCTACCCAGAGAGGGGAGGAGAAAGGAAAGGTCTGGGTGCCAGGACCACTGTGGCTTCAGCCGGATTGACGTGGCCAGTGTGACTTCAACCTCCTGGGGGTGTTTATTTATTTATCCTTTGTCCTCACTAGGGAATTTGCCCTCGAAGCCATCCTGCTCCACCCTAGAGCCTGAGAGAGGTGTTGGCCCAGGCCCTGTTCTGTTACAAGCCCACCCTGTTTGTAAGGTCCAGGAGTTTGTCTTGGGTCCCTTTGGCTTCCTTGCTGGGTGGTGTTCTGTCCAAGGCCGTTAGAATTGGTGTCTACAAAGCTCAAACCCAAGGAATGCATTTCCATGTGAACAAGTTGAGAATCAGCCCACCCATGTTGTCTGTTTTGTACCAGTGCAGTGAAGACCCCCATATCTGTGCTATACAGGTGCCGTGAAGACCCCATGTCTATGCCGTATCAGGGCAGTGAAGACCCTGTCCAAAAAAAAAAAATCCCTAAAATAGTTACTTTTTTCTCACTGTGACTAAATACTTGGCAAAAACAACTTCAGAGAAAGGTGGTTTGCTTGGGATCATGGTTTTAGGTGACACAGTAAGCGTGGATTATTTTGGCTCACTGTGAAAGGGTCTGGTCATATTGCAGCTGCACTCAGGAAGCAGAGAGTTGAACTAGTGCTTCTCTGTGTGCTACACACACACACACACACACACACACTATGTAGCCCTGGCTGTACTAGAACTCACTAAGATCAGGCTGGCCCCAAACTCAGAGACCCATGTGTGCCCCCCTTTTTATTTAGTTCATGACCCCTGCCTCTGGGGTGCTCCCACTTGTATTTAAGGTGGATCATCCTCCCTCTTTCGAAAGTTTTTTTCTTTTTTAAATATTTTATTTATTTTGTATGATTTTATTTTTCCCAGATGTTTTTTCTTTTGTCTTTCTAAAGTCAGCTCTTTACATGGACTTTGGTGGAGGTCATGGGTCAGCATCAACAGGTCTAAGTAGTGGTAGGAGTATTTGGGCCTTTGAAACTTCATGAGCTCAATTCCTGACCACCTGAGGTTGAAACGCCACAGCTCACACAGTCACACAACTTGGATAGCTTGTAAGAATTGGAGTTGCCTGCTTCAGACAGTAGCAACCTCTACTGTGTTCTGAATGAATGACAACCTTTTTTCTTTCTTTCTTTCTTTCTTTCTTTCTTTTTTCTTTTTTGGTTTCTCGAGACAGGGTTTCTCTGTGTAACAGTCTTGGCTGCCCTGGAACTCACTTTGTAGACCAGGCTGGCCTCGAACTCACAGAAATCTGCTTGTCTCTGCCTCCCACGTGCTGGGATTAAAGGCGTGCACCACCACTGCCCGGCTGGATCACAACTGTTTTATCCTTGGGCCCTCAATGGGTGAAGTATGTGCAGCGAATTGGCTGCCTATGGCTGTGGCCCCTTCTTGGCTATACTGCAGTTTCTTCTTAATTAATTTGGTCATAATGGAGCTAAGACCTGAAGGAGCCGTTTGCTTTATATGTGTGTATGTGTGCCCTGTATGTGTGCCTGGTGCCTCTGGAGCCCAGAAGAGGGTGCTGGAAATCCACCTTGCCTCCTCTGTAAGCCCGTCAAGTGCTCTTAACCATTGAGCTATTGCTCCAGCCTGGCCTTCCTCTCTCAGATCAGTAACTCTGGAAACATCTTCACAGACATGCCCGGAAGTGTATATGCTACGTGACTGTCAAATCCATCAAGCTGACACGCGTCTTTTCTTTCAGGGACCTTGTTTAAAACTCGGTGCACCTCATGCGGCAATGTCGCTGAGAACTACAAGAGTCCGATTTGTCCAGCGTTAGCAGGAAAAGGGTAATTACATCGTGCTGCAGAATACATGTCATTTCCCCTTGAACAGGACGTGAATGTGAGGAAATTAAATATTCACTGAAGATTCTCGTGGGTCTTTCTAATGCATAAGACTAGACACTGTACAGATATCTGATGAAAGAAATATTTGATTCATAATTTACCATGCTAAGGAAAAGCTATCAGATGCCAGAGTATTTGCTGTGTGATCTGATCCCCAAATTTTATTTATACAAATTCACATTCCATTTTCATGTATTTGTATATTAGCTAAAACATCACAAGAAAATACCAGAAAGGACTAACTGTTACTGTAAGGAACGGAGAGATTTTTGGTAATTTTTATTTCTCATTCATATCATTGGGAATTTCCCAACATTTTTAAGATGAATGTGTATTAGTGTTATAAGTAGGAAAAATTAAGGAAACTACTGAGAAAAAAATTCTTCTGGACCATTTCAGAACACTATAAACTTATCGAAGTAAAAAGCTAACATAATTTCATTGGAGAAGCATTAAACGCCCCATTGAGACTCTCCACTACACAAATTCCCTCTTGAAGCAAAGCCAATGGTCAGTGTTTAGGGTCCATGCTTCTATAAGCCTTCTAAGTTAGCATGCGTGAGCAGGTTTGGTACCATATACTGCCAGGCACAACACAAATGACTATGTCATGTTCTTCCTTCTCTTTCTTGCTATTTACTTTAGGGCTCCAGAACCAGAGACCCAGGACGCCAGAATCCCAGTTGACAAACTTCCCCGGTAAGTAAGAAAAATGGATGTGTAGCGGGTGTTCAAGGTTGCAGAAAAGAAAAACTAGAAATCAAAATCTCAACTCTTTGTGTGTATGTGAGATGCCTTTGAAATGTCCAAATGCAACAAACAGCCCTGACCTCTGGGTGAAAGGACCAAAGACGAAATACCTTCCAAGACTGAGGAGGTGGCAAAGGTCTTGCAAGGGTGAAATTACAGGGAAAAAAATGGGACTGGAGAGATGGCTCAGCAGTTAAGAGCACTGACTTCAGAGGACCTGGGTTCAATTCCCAGCACCTACATGGCAGCTCACGATTGCCTGTAACCCCAGTTCCAGGGAATCTGATGCCCTCTTTGGCTTCCTAGGGCACTGCATGCTTATGGGGCACATACTTAAATAAGTCAAAACACCCGTCACACAGAATAAATAAATCTAAAACAATTAAAATATAATTTTGTATGCTGTAAAGTACATTAGATTTTTTAAATGTCTGGGGTTTTTTTTGTTGTTTTGTTTTTTGAGACAGGGTTTCTCTGTGTAACAGTCCTAGCTGTCCTAGAGCTAGCTCTTGTAGACCAGGCTGGCCTCCAGCTCACAGAGATCCTCCTGACTCTGCCTCCCGAGTGCTGGGATTAAAGGCGTGTACCACCACTGCCCAGCTTTGAATGTCTGATTTCCAAAAACCCGGCATTGAAACAGTGCTTCCAAAGGGTGTTTCTTGGGGGGCTGGAAGCTGTTCAGTGGGTAAAGTGCTTGCTAGGCAAACATAAGAACCTAAATGTGGAATCTCAAGACCCACAGAAAAGCTGGGCTTAGCCATGAGTGTCTGGAAACCCATGCTGACAGACAGATTCTCCGGACTTGCTGGATAGCCAGTCTAGCCAAAACAGCGACCTCCACATACACACATGCATCGGCAAGAGCATCAGTCACGTGTGCACATATGCACATACACAAAACAGCAAAGTGTGAGCCTACATCCTTAATCCCAGCACTGGAGAGGCAAAGGCAGGTGGGCCTCTGTGAATTCTAGGACAACCTGGTCTACAGAGTGAGTTCCAGGACAGTTTAAGCTACATATTGAGACCCTGTCTCTATTATCTCTAAAAACCAAAAAAAGGTTTAATTTTTAAAACTTTGTCTATGTGTGTGTGCCTGCATGTGGGTATGTATTTCTGAATGCAGTACCCTTGGCGGTCAGAGGCATTTGGATTCCCTTGTGAATCAAGGAATTCCCAGATGATTCTGACCCCCTAGACTAGTGAGGGTCCTCTGAAAAAGCAGTATGCTCTTCACTATGAGCCATTCCTCCAGCCCTGAATCAGTTCTTCCTAAAAGTGATTATGCTGTATTGATACTTCTTTGGTTTATTTTAACCATAGACCCTTTTCATTTCTTTCTTTTTCTTTTCTTCATCTTTTTTAAATAAGGCTTTTCATTAATAAATTCTGAAGTTACAATAGAAAAGATTAGAGATTCTAGACATTTCCTTAATAAGATAAAGCTGATATAGTAGGCAGAAGATTTTAGAACATAAACCTAGACTATATTACCTAGAGGTAATAGGGAGTGAATGAAGAGGAATCCCCCACTCCAGCAAGATTTATCTGTCTAATCCTGGCTGTCCTGGAACTCACTCTGTAGACTAGGCTGGAAGGTTGAGTCAGGAGGATCACAAGTTCACGGTTAGCTTGACCCACAAGTGAGTTCAAGGTCAGCTGTGACAATTTAACAAAAGTGTCTCAAAGTCAAAAGTCAGAAAGAAGCTGGGGAGACCATCTGTGCCTGCTCTACTGGGCACAGAGCGCTGGGTTCCAGCAAGAGGCAGGGTGAGGGGGAGAAGAGCGAGAAACTTGGCCATAGGCCAGTCTCAGGAAAGACGTGATCTGTGAGAAACCGCAGGAGCCAGCTCACTGGTGGAAACAGGTGGTTCGGGTTGCGGCAGCTCTGCGGCTGCCATTGTGCCCAGTTCTGGGCAATGGGAGTGTGTTTGTGCCAATGAGTGCACCAAGGGGAGAGAAACAATTTTTTAGAGCTAGCAAGCCAAGCTTAGCGGAAACAGTGTCTACACAGCTCAGTAGATGAAGACAAGATAAGGACCGAGTAGGGCAAAGTCACCTGAGTGCCCCACATCCAGGGCAAGTTCCCATCTCCTGGCCTGAATAGCAGCCCAGCTTTCCTAGGATCCTGGGTAATCCTGGCCCCAGCAGTTAGAGCTGATTCAAGGGTGATATTCTTCCAGGTGTGAGGAGGCCGGATGCGGTGGCTTGCTGCGACCTCATGTGGTGTGGTTTGGAGAAAACCTGGATCCTGCTGTTCTGGAGGAGGTGGACAGAGAGCTCGCCCTCTGTGACCTGTGTCTAGTGGTAGGTCATGCCCATCCCTAGTCTTCAGGACCTGGAAAGACCGAGGTGGAGTGTCTTCTGGCTGCCGTCTTCCTCCCTTCTTCCTGTCCTTCCACTTCTCTTCCACCTTTTCTCCTTCACTCTTTCCCCTCTTCTTCCCCTGAAAGATGTGTATAGGTGGACTTTTCTTTCCCACCAGACAGTTCCCAAATAACCACACTGAGACCTATTATTAATTATAAATGCTCAGCCGATAGCTCAAGCTTATTACTAGCTAACTCTTCCATTTTAAATTAACACACATTTCTTCTCTACACTCTCCTACGTGACTTAGTATCTTTTCTCACTATGGCAAGTTCATCTTCTCTCTGCATCTCCTGGAGATTCTGAGACTCCTCTCTTCTTCCTTTTCACACTCTCTTTTTGTCTGCAAGTCCCACCTAACCTCTACCTGTCAACTTCTTTATTAAACCAATCACTGTAACATATATTCATACAGTGTAAAGGACTATTCCACAGATTTGATTAGAAGTCTCATAGTGTCCTGCAGAGAAAACCAAGAAGTAATCTTTTTAAAAGATTGGTTTCCTTATTTTGAATTATGTTTAGGTGTGGGTATGTGCACCTGAGCTCAGCGTCCTCAGAGGCCAGGGGCTTTGGATCTCCTCGAGTTCCACATAATTGCGAGCCACCCGGCATGGGTGCTGGGAACTAATTCTGGGTCTCCTGGCAGAGCAGCAACTGTTCTTAATCATCTCTCCAGCCCCAAGACCTATCTTAAAGGATGAAGCTATGCACGGCCATGTTCTGAGCATCTTTAAAAGCCTCACTTCCCCCACAAAGTAACAAAAGGAACATGCTTTTATAGAGCAGTATAAATTTAGAGATGTAATAAATAGACTATCATAACACCATCGGGGAAGCATCAGAGTTTTTTATTTATCTGTCACATTTGTATGCATGATGCCTGTGTGCGAGTGTGCCGCACGTGGAGGTCAGAGGTCACTGCTGTAGAGTCAGCTCTCTCCTTCCACCTTTGCATGGGTTCTAAGAGACACACTTGGCTCACCAGGCTTTTTCAGCAAGCTCCTTTACCAGCTGGACTATCTTGCCAGCCCTAAGCCTAGATTTTAAATATAATACATGCTCATTATTAAATGTCATTGATAAACTATGAAAGAATCAAAACCTAAGAAGGAAATTAGAAACCACCACATTATACAATCTGGAGATAATCACTGGTAGCATTTTGATGTTTTCTTCTAGACCAGGAGTTGAGTCTTTTGGCAGAGAGCAGATGGCCTACAGAACCTAACAATTTTAATATATGGCTCTTTCCACAAAAAGTTGACCACTTCTGATTCAAACCATTCCATACATATATATATATATATATGTATGGAATGGTTTGAATCATATACACATAATACACATTCTGTCTTGAGACTGTTTTATTCATATAATAAATAATTCAGTTGTCATATCCCATGCCAATATATCCAAAGCTGCCACATCTTTTAGTTTACTGTATGATTTTCTAGTACACACATGATAATGAAGCACCATTAATAAAAACTCAGAGAGAGAAATCGGGGTTCAACCTGAAGGCCTGAAAAGCAAAACAATCAGCCACAGGCTCTTACCTTAACCTCATTCTGAAGTGGCGATTCTGCCTTCAGGAATCTCAGAATGAGACTGTGTCTGAGAGCTGTCTCCTCCTGTTTTATAATCCTCTCTAGTTCTGGGATTAAAGGCATGCATTTCCCGGTTTCTATGGCAACTAGTGTGGCTACTGGGATTAAAGGTGTGGGTCATCACTGCCTGGTGTGTAAGGCTGACCAGTGGGGCTGTTTTACTCTCTGATCTTCAGGCAAGCTTTATTTATTAAAATATAAATGAAATATTACTACATGATATAGTGAGAAAATCCTCTATTACAGGACATTTGGGTTGTTGCAGGTTGTTTTTTGAATAGCGTCTAACGTAGCCCAGGAGAGTATCATGTATCACTATATAGCCAAAGCCAGACTTGAATTCTTCATCCTCCTGCCTCTACCTCTAGGATTACAGGTCTGTACTCTAGGTCCAACTTAGGCTGTTTCAGATTTTGGTATTTGAAGCAATGTTGCATGAACACATGTAGATGGGAATCTTAGCATGTTCCTCAAGCAGTTTCCTTAGGACACAGTCCCTAAAGGTGGAATTAACTAGAAAAAGCATGCAGAGTTCACAGTTACTCTAATACGTCTTTAAAAGCAGAGGCACTTTGTGCTGGGGATATCGCCGTTCTGTGTTAACTGTGTACAGCCCATGTTGGGTGCTGCCTCTGTGGTCGTGGTGGTCACTAGTGAGAAAGCTCGGTTTGCAGCATGTGCTGTGGCCTTTCCATGACTGTGAAGGGTGTGTGTGCACGTCAGAATATTAACAATGATTATTCCCAACTGTAGACAGAAAACGTGAATCATTTGCACAACTTCAAAGACCAAAACCAAAGGGACCCCTAGTATTGTCCTTTGGGCCATTTCTTTGCTTCGTTGTCTACTTATGTAATTAACTGTCCTTTTGTGTCACATGGCTCTTCCCCACTTCCAGTGATTGGCCAAACACCAAAGGCAGGTCATGGCTTTTACCTGTCCCTGCATTGCAGTTCTGTCATCTGGCTGGGCTTTCCTCACACACCCCCATCCACGCCCCGGCCTGAGTAAGTTTCCCTCCCCTTTCATCTCACCTAATGGCACTCATTGTCCAATTGCCTTGTAGGTGGGAACATCCTCTGTGGTCTACCCAGCTGCCATGTTTGCCCCTCAGGTGGCCTCCAGGGGAGTCCCAGTGGCCGAGTTTAACACGGAAACCACCCCAGCCACCAACATATTCAGGTATAGTAAGGGATGACCAAAGCTGGGTGACGGGAGGTGCAGCGCGGGCTTGGAGATGTCATCCCAATAGACGGTACAGTCCTGGTTTCTCTAGAGGAGGAGAGAAGAGAACGGGGGCAAAGAAGGGAGTTTGTCATCTTCTGTTTGATTTGTAGCTGTTATGGAAGAGCAGAATACCATGACTTGCAGGCTGGGTTTCTCTTTCACTACATGGGAGTTTCCATAGAACTTGTGTTTTCACCTTGACACTTCATATTCTTCTCCCTTTACACTTGCCTTTGTGGTTTTCAAGTAGGTGTGGCCACAGCCTTTGCCCGTAGGTGAGAGGCACCATCGCCCCCTCCGGATGGCTTCCCTGGGTGATCACTGTTACAGTGAATGGGAGGCATTTGCTGATTCCCTCAGTGTTTTGGCTGACGGAACCTCAAGGGTCCGTGCAATGCCAGGATTTGTGCTTGGCTGAAACAGAGATGGGCTGTGTACTCGTCGCTGCTCCATTTGGAGCCATCAGTGCTCTCAGCCACCATGTTGTCTTTTTGTCCCATCTTCAGAATTTAGCTGAAGTATGTGGTGTACCAAACACTGCCATAGTCCCAAGGAGAGGACAGATGAGTAACAAAACCCAAACCTTCCCTGTGAAGATGAGACACTAGTGGCGGAGGCTAGCGATCAGCACTGTACCTGGTGGGCACATTATTTGGGTTTTGAGATGCAGAGGCAGTGTGAAGAGCCCAGGTGTAATTGGGAGAGGGGGGCGGGGTAGGTGTCAGTCCTTAGAGGAAGACTCAAGAGATAAAAACAAAGAAAACCAGCCTATAGTTCACAATCCCAGCCGGGCGGTGGTGGCGCTTGCCTTTAATCCCAGCACTTGGGAGGCAGAGGCAGGCGGATCTCTGTGAGTTCAAGACCAGCCTGGTCTACAAGAGCTAGTTCCAGGACAGGCTCCAAAACCACAGAGAAACCCTGTCTCGAAAAACCAAAAAAAAAAAAAAAAAAACCAAAAAACACAATCCCAGAGAACCTAGACAACAATGAGGACCTTAAGAGAGACATACATGGATCTAATCTACATGGGAAGTAGGAAAAGACAAACTCTCCTGAGTAAATTGGGAGCATGAGGGCCTTGGGGGACGGTTGAAGTGGTGGTGGGGGGGAGGAAGGGAAGGGAGTGGAGAAAAATGTATAGCTCAATAAAATCAATTTAAAAACTTTTTAAAAAATGAGATAAAAGAATAAGCCAAAAAAAGACCTTTCCAGATTCAGGGACCACCTGATACAAGGGCCAAGGCAGATGCACAGCTGGGCAGTGTGAGGACTGCTAAGGAGTCCACCTGGCTGCAGGGATGGTCAGTGGGCAGAGTTCTAGGAGAGGCGATTTGGGCTAATAAAGTTTGGATTGGGGGTGAAGGGAAAGTGGGGGGAGGGGCTTGATGCTGAATACGAATTGCTGGTGGTTTGTCACCTAAGAAAGTAGCCCGAAAACCATGGAGGTAGTGATGTCGCTTATCAAAGGTTTGACGAGCCCTTGCTTTTAAGTCACAGTTGAATGCTCACCTGGCTGTGCCATCCAGTAGGGAACAAAGCCTTCTTTACCTGTGGAGCTGAGCTTCTATTGATCTCTTTACCTGTGGAGCTGATCTCTTTACCTGTGGAGCTGAGCTTCTGTTGATCTCTCAGGCTCAAAGTTTCCTTAAGGGAAGTCCAAAGAGAAAAGACACATGGCATGCATGCCTTGAATTATGTAATTATATATGCACATATATTAAATATCATATATAAATATTATATCATACACACAGGCATATAAGTAGTAAATATCATATATATATATATTATTTCTATTTTATTTTGTAATGTTGGGGATTGAGCTCAGAGCCTGTGCTTGCTAGACAATCTCTCTAAATCTAAGATAACACTTCAGCACTATATATATATATACATATATATATATATGTATATATATATATATCTTAATTTAGTTTAATACATAACCCAGACTGGCCTCAAGCTCATGATTCTCCTGCCTTGGTTTCCTAAATACTGGGATTATAGGCATGCTCACCAACCCATCTAAACACAGCCCATAGTATGCTCTAGTAGTTACTTCTTCCAATGACAGGGCCATAGCCTCGGGTAGCACAGCACAGAGTACAGCCACTGGGCTAGTCTCCAAGCTGATTTTAATTTTGCATAATCACATTTGTCTACTTTTGCTTTTGTGGCCTGTGTTTTGAGAATCAAATCTAAAAGTCTATTGCCCTGACTCGTGTTGTGTGCTCCTCCACCATGTTTTCTTCTAGTAGTTTTGAATTGCTTTTGTCTGTTGTATGAGACAAGGCTCCAACTTCATTTCTCAGCATGTGGCTGTCTAATTTACCAACACCGTATATTTAAATGGCCTTCCTTTCCCCATTGTGTCTCTGGTAGCTTTGTGAAGGCAGTTGACCGTCGACCTTTAGATTTATTTCTGTACTTTTTATATATTGTGAGGAGGTCATTTACTGTAGAGGCGCTGGCTTTGTTCATTATGCTCATGAGTTTATCAGTTATTGAAGTTTGTGTATATATCTAAGCGATTTAGGATTGCTTTATCTATATCATGAAAAATGACACTGGAATTTCAATAAGGATTATAGTATAGATATTGTAAATAATATTAATATTTTCAAATACATAAACATGGGATATCTTTCCACCCACTTGTATCTTCATATATATAAATATGGATGTTTATATACTTTGATTTATGAATTTGGCATTATAATGGTAAAATACACTGTAATCATATGCTGTGGGAGGTCCTTCCGCTTCTTCAGCCAAAAGCCTTTAAGATACCAGCCCACTTGGACATGGTCTTTTTTGCTTTAAAAAATCAGCCGTAGCCCTGCACTCACTGTCTTGCTTCCAGCTCCCACTTCTGGTTGCTAGACTTTACTCTGTTCTTCTTCGCTCAGGGGACTGTTGTCTAGGACAGTGATCTGTAAGTTTTCCCCTTAAATAAATAACCCTTTTATTTTTTTTTTAAGAAAAAAGCTTTATAGTCCAGGTCTTTTATTTCTTTTTGTACATCAGGCCATGAATTCGTAGGGAATGGGCTCCAGCAGCTCAGGCTCCTTCCCGTTAGTCCTCACGAAGTGTGCTTCTCTGGGTGGAGCAGGCTGGCGCTTCAGCTGAACCCAGGTGCCCTTCTCTTTGGCTTCCTTTTTCTTCTGGTCGTTCTCCTTCACCCGCTTCAGGAAGCTGTCTCTGCTCTTCGAGTGCTTGATGTGTTCAATCCACACATTAATTCTCTTGGCAAGAATCTTGCCCTTAACTTGCTTGTTTACAATGATGCCCACAACATGCTGGGTGACATTGTAGACTCTTCCGGTTTTGCCATAGTAACATTTATGGGGCATTCCTTTTTGAACAGTGCCCATTCCCTTGATGTCTACAATATCGCCCTTCTTGTAGATTCGCATGTACGTGGCCAAAGGAACAACTCCATGTTTCCTAAAGGGCCTAGAGAACATATAGCGAGTGCCCCTCCTCTTTTCCTTTGTGTTTGTCATTTTGGCGAGTTACTGAAAGATGGCTACTGCGGCCGAAAAAAACTAAATAACCCTTTTATTATTCATAATTCTGAAATGGTGTGGGATTGCTTTGTGACTTACGCCTTCGATCATGCCTTCTCCACCTGTCACAATAAAGTCTTATAGCACAGACTTAAGACAGTTGCCTGTGACGTGTTACATTTAGTATTGTCATGACTTGGATTACAGAAGTCCACAAAGCTAGGTTTGGTGACACACATCTTTAATCTTGGCACCTAAGAAATAGAGACTGGCTGTTCTGTGTGAGTTCAATGCTAACGTGGTCCACATGGCAAGTTCCAGTCCAGCCAGGGTTACATAGTGAGACCCTATCCAAGAAAAGTCCATTAAAAATTCGAACACCATTAGTTGTATGCTATCAGCTGCAGTTTTGTGTTCATTTTGTTAACTTGTGCCCCCCTAATTCTGCTCTATTGCTCCTTCCATTTAGGTTTCATTTTCCAGGACCCTGTGGGACAACACTTCCTGAAGCCCTTGCTCCTCATGAAACTGAAAGGGTTTCTTAATTGTCCTGTGGAAAGAGGAGAAGATTGTGTAGCGCATAACCAGGGCACTAACAGGAGAAGAGGTTTTGTGGATGACAAGCTGAACTTTGGAAAACCTAAAATTACCCTTTGAGCCCCTAGAGGACAATCTGTGAAGGGATTGGGCATCAAAACGCCAACAGCAGTGTTTTCTTTGGAGAGGCTGATGGACTGTCAAGTTCTTCCATCTTATTTGATTTCAACTGAAATATGAGTATTTTGGATTTGCTGTTCTTGGTCACTTACTGGGAGGGAAAAATTTGTACTTAAATTGCTTGAGAAGAAGGTGATTATACAAACTGTTTGTTTGTATCTTGGGCAAAAATAGAAATAGAGAATTAAAACCCTAAAAGTTAAACCCTAGTAAATTTTTTGGCACACATTTTTGTGGAAATGAAACCATCCTTTATAGTTGATAACTTATTGTATAAGGATGCTCTTCCAAGAGATGTCTTTGTTGGGGGCTTCTTTTCCCTTTTCTTTTCAGTACTTACTTCGCTTGGATGCCTTACCTTAAAGAATATGCAAGAACTCATGCAAGGCAAGAAAAGGAACAGCCAAGTAGAAATGTCAGGATGAGAAAAAGAATAATGCTAATCCAGGACGGAGCAGATGAGCTGCCTCTGAGGGAAGGAAGTGATGGGTGATCATTGCTGAAGGTGACAGATGGAGAGCATCGTCTCTGCTGGTCTACATCATCACTCAATGTCATAAATGAAGGGGAACATCATCTCTGCTGGTCTACATCATCGCTTAGTGTCATAAACAAGGGTATGTGGTTTCTACTGGTCTAAGAGCTCCACTGGACCCTGAGAATGACCTTTTTACTTTGCACTATAATAGCAAGAATGCTGCACTGTCTCTGAACCCCACCTGCTGATACAGCCCTGGGCTTGAACTGTGGCAGGGATGTGAGGCCTAGAGAGGAGCAGTGGCCACTAGCGAAGAGGATAAAGATCATACATAATGCTCTCCCTTGGGTCCAGTCAGTTCCCCAGGTCACGATGCACCCGGGCTGCCTCCCCTCAGCCCGTCTCAGAACTCCACTTATTTTAGTACTCCAGGCATCTGTCAATAGTTAGCTTTCTCATGGCTGTGACCAAAATTCCTGACAAAAATTAATTTAAAGGATGAAGGGTGTAAGTGAAGAATGCTTCTTCATTTCCTGGCCGCCCAAACCCACATAATAATACAGAAACTATATTAATTACAACACTGTTTGACCAATAGCTTAAGCATATTCCTAGCTAGCTCTTACATCTTAAATTAACCCATTTCTATTAATATGTGTATCACCATGAGGCTGTGGCCTACTAGTAAGGTTCTGGTGATATCTTTCTCCTTCAGCAGCTACATGGCATCTCCCTGACTCCACCTATTCTCTGTCTCTATCTCTTCCAGTCTGGCTATATTCTGCCCTGCCACAGGCCAAAGCAGCTTTGTTCATCAACCAATAAAAGCAATACATACAGAAGGACATCCCACATCATTTTCCCTTTTATTTCTAAATAAAAAGGAAGATCTTATCTTTAACATAGTAAAATTACATATACAAAGCAGTATCAAGCAAGAATTATAGTTACAATATTTAGTCCATTTACATTTGGCAAATTAAGGATAATATTCTATCATCTATCCTATCTTTGTGAGGCTAAAGTTTTATATCTAATTTATTTTATCATAACTAAGGAAAACTATAACTATCTATTCTTCAACTCCAAAATACCCCAGAAGGATATAATATTACCTAAGTTAACAGGAAGTACGTTGTAAGCCAACTTCCAAAACTAGAACTGACATCTCACTGCCTGGACAGTCAAGTCACCCAAGGTTCTTCTGTAATGTGGGGCATCCATCTTCAGCCTACAGGCCCATAGTATCTGTCAGACTTTTCCATGAAGCAGGAAATTTCAAAGACTATTTTGCCTACATTGGCACTTTGTTAGTCACTTTCCTCTGTGTCCTGCAGAATGTCTGGCAGACTCTTTCATGAAGCAGAAACCCTGAAGGGTTGTCTCACCTTTTTTTTAAAATTTTTATTGAGCTCTACATTTTTCTCTGCTCCCCTCCCTTCCTTTCTCTTCCCCTTCAACCCTCTCCCATGGTCCCCATGCTCCCAATTTACTCAGGAGATCTTGTCTTTTTCTACTTCCCATGTAAATTAGATCCATGTATGTCTCTCTTAGAGTCCTCATTGTTGTCTAGGTTCTCTGGGTTGTCTTACCTTCTTTAGGCAAATTCAGCAGCAACTTTTCTGTGGATCCGGCATGTCCAGTTCATACAGCATACCATCAAGCAGCCCAGGCAAGAGCAGTTTCTTTCCCAAATGGCTAGCCTTGTCACATTGAAGGCAAATTTCGTAAAGAGTTTCTTCAATGCCCATCAACCTCTCTGAAGTAATTGGTACTGCCAGAATCAGATATGTCTCACTGTTGAGAAAAGTCTAAGTTCTTAAAACATATTAAATGGGCCGGGCAGTGGTGGCGCACGCCTTTAATCCCAGCACCCGGGAGGCAGAGGCAGGCGGATCTCTGTGAGTTTGAGACCAGCCTGGTCTACAAGAGCTAGTACCAGGACAGGCTCCAAAACCACAGAGAAACCCTGTCTCGAAAAACAAAAACAAAACAACAACAAAAAAATTAAATGCCATATGTCATAGGTCTTTGAAGTGTTGAAGATTATCTAACTGAAATATATATCTAGAAAACCTAACTAACATGACTACAAGTTTGACTATTACAAATGACTATCTAGTAACACATAATTTTTAATTATACATTACATTATTAAATGAGCTTTTTAAACATACCTTAAATAAGAGTAGAAATATAGATGACAAAATTGACCTTAAATTTGTAACAATAAACCAAGATCCATACCAATGCAAAGTATTCATCTTTATATCACAGAAAAAAATAACATCTTGAAGTTTGCAGGCAAATGGATGGATGTAGAAAACATATTGAGTGAGGTAATCCAGACCCAGAAAGACAAATATCATATGTTCTCACTCATAAGTGGCTTTTAGACACAAAGCAGAGAAAACCAGTGTACAATTTGCAATCCAGAGAACCTAGACAACAGTAAGGATCCTAAGAGAGATATACATGGATCTAATCTACATGGGAAGTAGAAAAAGACAAGATCTCCTGAGTAAATTGGGAGCATGGGGACCATGGGAGAGGACTGAAGGGGAAGGGAAGAGCAGGGAGGGAAGTAGAGAAAAATGTGGAGCTCAATAAAATCAACAGAAAAAAAAAAAGAAAAGAAAAGAAAGGAAGGTCTATCTGGGCTGCCAGTCCAAAGGAATGCAGCATAGCAGGGCCAGTGCCATAGAGGGAGTGACTTGGTCTGTAGCTCCCCAGAAAGCAGAGAAAAGGACTCCCAGTATAGTACTTGCTTCCCCACCCCCACCCCCGCCCCTTTTGTTTTTTTGTTTTTTTGTTTTTTGTTTTTTTTTTTTTTGGTTTTTCGAGACAGGGTTTCTCTGTGGTTTTGGAGCCTGTCCTGGATCTAGCTCTTGTAGACCAGGCTGGTCTTGAACTCACAGAGATCCGCCTGCCTCTGCCTCCCGAGTGCTGGGATTAAAGGCGTGCGCCACCACCGCCCGGCTCCTCACCCCTTTTGTATACAGTCTGCTCCTCACATTCAGGGTGTTTCTTCCCCTGTTAATCCTCTCTGGGAACTCCCCACGGGCACGTCCGAAGGTGTGCCTCATGAATGCATGCAGTGGGCGCTGGTTCGCTGGGTGCTGGAAATGAAGAAACGACAGACATGGACCAAACGACAGAAAAACATCCAGAAAAGATGGGGTCGGGTTGGTTGTGACGCTCTGATAGAGAGCACCTTCTATGCAACCTGGAAACTCAGCAAATTTATTGTGTGCAGCACAAGGAGGAGGGGTTCAGCTGTCTCCGTGGGAGGTCTCTGTAGGGGTGCAGCCTCCAGTTGCAATCCCCCAAGAGGAGGGAGCTGTAGTTGCCAGTTTTTGCACACAGTCAACATTGGCACAGGAAGGCTTTGCCATTCCCATGGGTCTGAGGCACTGGGGTCCTCCACACTGACAGGGCTATGCCCATGTCGTCAACAACACACATTCACCCAAGGCTTCATGCCTCCCCACGGATGTTTATTAAACCAATCAAGTTGACAACGGAAATAATCTACCACAGGCAACAAGATACAGTTCCTTAATAGGGAATGCAGAATCATTTCGTATTATATAACGGGTAAGAGACAGAGACCACAGGGTCGTGAACATTCACCCAAGGCTTCATGCCTCCCCACGGATGTTTATTAAACCAATCAAGTTGACAACGGAAATAATCTACCACAGGCAACAAGATACAGTTCCTTAATAGGGAATGCAGAATCATTTCGTATTATATAACGGGTAAGAGACAGAGACCACAGGGTCGTGAATGGCCAGAATACAGAAGGTCATTAAGCATTTATTTCGCCTTTGCCACCGCTGTTTCGTAGATCAGACCAACGTGGGAACAACAGCAACAACAACAAAAACAACAGGGAACACATTGAATAACGCGACGTCCGTTCCTTTCCTACCCAGACTATCTTCCGGGTTGCAACACCCACAGGGAGCACTGCGCTCCTTCCGCGCACGCGCTTCAGCGCGTCTCGTGGCCTCCGAACCAACAGGGGGCGCGGAGAGCGCGAGGCGCGCACGGCTAGCGGCTGCTTCCGGGTCAAGGGTCAGACAGCCTTTTTCCCGTTGGCCATGGTGCAGCTCCGGCCGCGTCCGTCGCGAGTCCCCGCGCCAGCGGAGGCGATGGTGGACGAGGACCAGCCGGCCTCGGAGGAAGAGGAGGCGGAGCATGGCCTGCTCCTCGGGCAGCCCAGCAGCGGCGCCGCCGCCGAGCCTCTGGACGAGGACGAGGATGGGGACGACGAAGCCCCCGAGGAACTGACTTTCGCCCATGCTCAGGCGGAAGCGAGGGAGGAGGAGCTGCGCGTGCGTGAGAGTGCACGGAGGTGCGGTGCCCGCGGCGGGGAACGGGACGCCCGGCGACTTCCTAGGCTCGTCCGGCGCTGACCTGTCCCCTTTTCTTCCAGGGATAAAACGCTGCTGAAGGAGAAGAGGAAGCGGCGCGAGGAGCTGTTCATCGAACAGAAGGTTGGCGGCGGGCCGTGTCGCTTTGGAAACACGACCGGGGCGAGCGAGAGTTCCCTTGCTCAGGGCTTTTTTTTGGGGGGGGGGGTGAGGGAGTATAGGATATTGGAGCGGGGCAAGGGCTGCTGCTGTTTCTTGGTGTCTTGCCCTAATTCAACGTGGGCGTGGAAGCGTTGACACTCACCTGGCCTTCACGTATTGGTCTTTTAGGCTTCCAGAGGTTGTGGGTTTCTTTTTTTTTTCCTAAGTCTAAAACTAGGACTCCGAAGATTTAAGTGACTTGTAAAGTAAAAATGGCACATACAGGCGATTCCTTATTTCATATCCCAGAGATCTGACTTCAAATTGGCCATGTCTGATACCTTTCTATTAATAACAGGGACACTTGAACGTTGAGCTACTGTGGGTACAATTAAAAAGAATGTTTTGGGCTTTGGAAACCCAGTCTTGGCTTAGAAGTCGCGGGGCAGTATTGGTCTGGATGCAGGAGTATTTGAAACGAGTTAAGTTTTTTGTTTTGCTTTTTCGAGACAGGGTTTCTCTATATAACAGTCCTGGAACTCACTCTTTATACTTAAGAGATCCGCCTCCCTCTGCCTCCAGAGTGCTGGGATTAAAGGCGTGCACCACCGATGCTTGGCCGAGAGGAATAACTTTTTTGTTTTGTCTTTATTTTTTTATTTTTTGAGACAAGGTTTCTCTATAGCTTTGGAGCCTGGCCTGGAACTAGCTATTGTAGACCAGATTGGCTTTGAACTCAACGAGATCAGCCTGCCTCTGCCTTCTGAGTGCTGGGATTAATGGTGTGAGCCACCACTGCCAGACACCGAAATGAGTAACTTTTTAAAAGCAACTCTGAGAATACCTGAACATCACTTTTAACTTGTCTTCAAATGTCTTTATTCCAAAAGAAAAGAAAGCTGCTTCCAGATGCTATTTTACAGCAACTAACTAAAGCTTCAGAGGCTGAGTAAGTAATAGGCTTTTACTTCTGTAAGGCAATCCTTAATTTGTCTGTATAACTGCAGAGATTTGTCCAAATTTAAAAGCTACAGAGTGATTTTGGAGTTCCCAA